ATGCGGGCCAGGGCTCTGCCTTTGCTCCAGCTGTCTCGGACCCCTGCAGGGTCAGTGCCTTGACCTCACAGCTGACATCTGTGTGCTGAGGGACAACTCACCTGTCTTGCTGAAAAGCTCCTTGTTAACAGGAGTTTCAGGTCGATCCATGAAGTTTTCCCATTGGTTTACAAGAACTTCCTTAGCCATCTGCAGCCCACTTACGAACACAAATGACATGCTGCCCATCTGCATGCTGAAGATGTCTCCATATTTTTCAGTAAGCTGGGAAACAACGAGGAAATGAATAAAAGGAGTTTCATTTGCAATAGCTGTATTAGTTGGGAGAGATAGAGCCTAGGTCAGGGACATGGGTGGAAATAACCATGTCTGAGAGTGGGAGAGGAGACGGGGTGTTTGCCCATGTGTCTGCTTGTCTGCGTGTCATGGTTTAAGCCCAACTAAGCACCAGGCAGCTGCTTGCTTGCTTGTCCCCACTGCCCGTTGGGATGGGGAGGAGAAATGAAAGGAAATAAAAAATGAAACTCATGAGTTGAGATAAGAACATTTTAATAACTGAAATATGGTAGTAGTAGTACTAGTTGTATAGCTTGTAGTAGTGGTAGCAGTAGTAGTAGTAGATAAAACCAAGAAAGAGATGTGGTGCAATTGCTCTGCAAACACTCACTGATGCCCAGCCAGTCCCTGAGCAGCAATCAGCCCCTCCCAGCCAACTGCCCCCAGTTTCTATACTAGGCAGGACGTTCGATGATGTGGAATATCCCCTTGCCTAGTTTGGGTCAGCTGTCTTGGCCATGGTTCCTCCCAGTTCCTTGGGCCCCTCCTCATTGGTAGAGCATGGGAAATTAAAAAGACCTTTTTCAGTCCAGTGTGTCTCCAGCTGTTGTTTCATACCCTTCCCAATCACCATTCCAATCTCTGGTGAGACCTTTGGAGCTCCTACAGCTGTGACTGCACTTGAGGAATTATGCTGCTCTCTTTGCCAAAAGGATAGCCCCACTCTTAGGGGGCTGGTTAGCTCAGTCAGTTGAGCGTGGCGCTAAAACCGCCAAGGTCACGGGTTTGATTCCCGTTCAGTCCCCATGTGTTGCCTGATCTAGTCAAGAGGGGGTGTCCCTGGTGACAGGGAGGCTGGATTAAAATGATCTCTAAGGTCCCTTCCAGCCTAGGCCATTCTATGATTCTATGATTGTCCCCAGCCTTGTATTCAGGATGATCGTCCCCAGCCTTGTATTCAGGCAAAATTTATTGACACTGCTGCAAAACTTCTGTCTCTACTGGGGTAGTCCTAATCCTCCTAGTCCTTCCCACCCTCTGCAGATTTTGCAGAGCTGCAATCCCCTCCATCCCCCTCGCTTTG